CGCGACGTGCGTGTGGGGCCTGCCCCTCGTCTGGGCGAAACGCCCCTCGGTCCAGGGGAAAGTCACGGTTTCGAGGTCAGCTCTGTGGCGTGAGCGGGGTGGGGGGGACCTATCTGGGGAGAATCAGAGCAGGCTACTGGGAGGGTGTAGCGGTATAGCGTGAGTCTGAAGATTGGAAATATCTTTCTCAGTGTTATTGCTTCGTGCGATTAAAAATGCATTATGCATATTACATGACTCATTATTCATGAAGCGGGGCCCGCACCTTTTGTCTGCCGCCGTAACAGGAGAAAGGGAAAGGAGAGACACTGGAGCACACCTTTGTGTCTGCCGGTAAATTTTTAATAGCACCTCTAGCTAACCAGTTGGTGAAGCTCAGTTCCCGCATAAAAGCGGAAAGGCAGAGCTATCTAAAAGACCACTAAGCCTTTCAGAAGCTAATTTGAGCTTGTGTTCACCCACACCAACCATGATTAAATTACCTATCAAGTGTGCAGCGCTATCGGGATTCAGGGCATTGAAAAACAAGGTGAATTTATCTGATTGATTTAAAAGACATGGATGGAACAAGTGGGTTAAAAAAATATATCTCTCCGATCTAGATATTATAAAAGCTTCTCTCCTGGCAAGTTACTGCCCGCATGAGTTAGCCCCCAAAGGTTGTTCTGCTCGCCCAGAAAGCAAAGGTATTAGTTGGAGTCAGAATGCTTTATCCAAATCAGTTAGCAAGGTGAATTAATTCATGAGGCAGAAACAAAGCAACTTATTAGGTTCCATCCCCGTGCCCAGCAGAGATGTTTAAAATTAAAATATGCAAACATCATCTGCGCTTTCTCTACGGCCAGTTTCCAAAAGCAGATAGTGACACTCAGATTGGCTATTGCAACACAAGCGAGCGACCAGCTCCGCTGGCTCTTGCTCCTTCCTCAAGCAAAACTTTTGTTGCAGTTGCCGGGGAGGGAGGAAGAGGTTTCTAGAATAACCCCTGGGCGCACGATTGCAAGACTCGTGCAACTGCGTATCCGCAAGCTGCGCTGCTGTTGCACACTGATAAAGGAGTGCTCCTCAGTTTTCTATGTCTCTCTTCCTTAAGAGAGAAAAACAAACAGGTCAGTTGTGTCAAA